AAAAAACAACAGAAATATCACGTCAGGTGTAAAACCGTACACCGTAACTAATAGGTTAATAGCAACAGTAGAATGACCCTATTGCATCTCTACGTATAAAATAAAATCACTGCTCTTTCGGGGCCTTGAACTTGATGGTTTTCGATAGCATTAAGCCATCTAAAATGAATTCAGACACACTTTGTGGATACTTTTTTGTAAATATACGTCATCGAACTACATTCGTATAATATAATATATAGGTTGTAGGCGTACGTTGAATTTTAATGGTCATTAATAATAAATCATTAACTCATAAACTGAATATAATTTTTAGGCAGGATTTATTGAAGGAATTATTTGATATCTATGTTATAGTATTATTACAAACTATAGTTTATCCTTAAATTATAACTTTAACATTGTATTAATATTATAAATGCTATAATTGAAGAAAAAATTATACAAATTAAACAACTTTTTTAGTATGTATACAGTTTAGTGTTTATACCTACCATATTATATGTTGTTTCGACGAAAATATTATCTAATTATTTTATACTTTGGTACATATTTTATTTGTATAGATACATCATACATACAATATTTGTAATAATACCATCGTGGAAAATACATTTATAATAGGTTTTTCGGTGCATTCGAATTGCGTCCCTAAATGATATTTTGTCCAAGTTGCGTCCGCGGTTTTCTATTTACAATATGATGTATGGTCTAAGCAAGTACGAGTTGCGTCCACGGGGTTTTCGACTGGGATAATGTTTAGTGATAAACTAGTAAATATCTTAATTATCGATATCTTACCTCTAAATACTCCCATACAATTTATTGTTGGTAATTAATTTTGTTCATGTTAGCATCAGTCACACTTCAACATTCCACGTTCGATAAATCAACAAAAATTTAATACGTCTTAGCTCGTTCAAAAATTGGGATACAAAAGTTTACTCATTTTATAAAATAATAAACAATTACGATTTTCATCTAGGTACACCATTTCATAATAAAATTAACATTTCATTTTAGAACAATAAATAATTTATAATTATTAATTATTAATTACAATACATTTTAACCAGCCATTTATACAAATGACAATCATCAGTCTGTAAAATTGGGAAGGAAAATATGTTTACTATTATCCAATTATTAACCAGGACGTAACTCGTACACGTAACGAGAAAATCGAGGACGCAACTCGGACATACTCGGTATATTATCGTATTTTGGGACGCAATTCGTATGCAGCCAAAAAACCTTTTTATAAACTTCCAACTCGAAATAATGTGCTAATTTTCGTCGTTCTAATGAATTTTGCGACATTTTAACTTTAAACGCTTATAAAAAATATTATGGATTTAAGTTTTTTTTTTGTTTTATTCAATCTGTTACAAAAATATAAACAAGGATTTGTTTTTTTTTTTTTAATTTACACACAATTTATGAGGAACATTGCGTTGCATTTTCAAGTGTTTAGACCGAGTGAAAAATATTTTATCGATATATTTTAGGGTCACAATAAAAAACAAAAATTGATTTTTTCGAAAATGGGTTATGCGTAAAAGATCTGTTTTTCTTTAATTATTTGTTATTGTTTTTCCTGACGCACTACTTGTAATTTTTTACTATTACCCTCCTGCCAAAGCACTAAATAGATCCATTTTCCTACCTGATAAGACAAGTTTAGAAGAAAATTGATGCATCTTTACTTAAAACGTGAAGCACTCAAAAATAAAAATTAATACATTCATCGGAGCGATTCAAAATCTAAAATACACTAAAACCAAATAATAAAAGGCACTAAAATTGTTTGTTCTTTCATCAATGTTAATAAAAATTCAATTTTCTTAATTTCTTTACCACATTTACTTTGCATCAATTTTTTCAAAAATATTATTAACTTTTTATGCATTTTACATTTGTTAAGAGAGTATCAGTTGGCCACACTGACATTTGTCTGTTATGTTGTATCATAGAACAGTTGTATGTTTGTGTTGGTCTGTGGTTATGAATTTATTAATAAGACATATAAATATTAACATATTATCTTTGATTAATTTTTATTATCATTTAAGTCTTTTAATAAAAACAAAGCAAAAATACACATAATACATATCGCTAAGTCATTAAGGTACACATAATTTGTGAATTTATGATTTCCAAACTCAAACTAACATTCTAATGAATTCTAATATTCTAATTCTATCATTCTAACAAGAATTTAAGTTATATTGTGCAATAGCGGCAAATTTGTTAAATTGAGATGATGTTAAAAACTTTACCAAATTTTTTTTTTAAAATAAATACAATTGGAATGAACAAACGTGGCTTATGGCAATGGATTGATGACATGTTCAACCGGCAAGTGCCTTTACTTAAAATTAAATGACAAGAATGAAATATTTAAGACTTATGTGCATTTAATTTAATTTAGTTATATTGTTATTTTGTAAAAAAAAGTTTGGATGATGATCGTATCAAGAAAATTGGCCCTAACTTGGCATGTGCTGAATGGCTTATGAAAAATGGTGCACAAGTTAGATGGAAAGGTTGTAAAGAATTTGTCAGCCACTACAATTGCTTACCTAATATAACATCATGTAACCTTGGACAGTTTCTAATAGAACAAGTATATGCTGGGAAAGAAGCTTCAATTTCACATATAGGATTTGGTTATTTTAGTAGGTTTCTCAACTTCTGTAATACATCATTTATAATTGGTTGTTATTAATTACTAGTTTAAATGTTAATTTTATAGAAAACTGTAAGAATATTTCTCAAGTGGAATTTGTTGGATGTAACACAATTGATAATGAAGCATTATCTAAACTTAATATCTTGAAAGATAACTTGACAAATTTGAAAATTAATGGCTGTTTAAATGTTTCTGATCAAGGAATTATGTCATTGGAGCATCTGCAGTAAGGATAGGATTAATTTATTCAATAAAATCCACATTGATTAATAATTTAAATTACAGGGCATTAAAATATTTGGAGTTGAAAAATTTACAATTTTTAAGTGAACCAGAAGCAACAGTTGATCATTTGAAAAGAAAACTGCCAGAATGTGATATACAATATTATGATGAATGAAGATGATAAAAGATTAAAAAAATTTAATTTATCTAAATTATAGAACTAACTAAAACAAAGAAACTATCATATACCTACCTATACCCATCTATTTTCAATGTATTGTCAAACAAGACTGAAACTTTAGTGTAAAAAAATACTTAGATTACTAGTAATTGCAATTATTTTTGTACCATATGATATGAATAATAAAATACTAATTCGAAAAATATTTTATACCTAATTCATTTATTTTGCCACATAAGCCTTATTAGATATGCATAGGTACATTTAATTTTTTACTGACGTAAAATTTCATATAAATTTAAAACATAATTTGTTTAATGTCTAGCAATAAACACAATGATGATGGTTCAAAGATACAAGAAACTGATTAGTAAGAAGGTACCAATTTACCTTTTTTAGGTATCGCTATAATGTTAAGTTACACAAACAATATTGATATTTCAGTTAAGAACTGATAAATTATGTATTGCCTATAAAGTAATTTTTAAATACAAATATCAAGTAATAATAACTTATAATTGTTATAAAGATATTTAGATATTAAATATCAATGAAAAATACAAATTATAAAATTAATTACATTGTTAGCATTCAGTTTATTTAGGATAACAGTAGACATACAAATACTAAAAAATAATTCAATAGTATACTATATGTACTTTATTACATAGATCATGAACAATTAATATACAATTAAATCAGAGTTGAATTGGGTCCTTGAGAAAATAAACGCTGTAATTTCAAATTATGCTAGAAAATATTAACTACATATTATTTTCTAAAACGGTTTGATAAAATCCAAAATTATTTTAAGTTAAAAATATAGTTAAAATAATTAAATATTATTTCTTAATTAGCTAATTAAACACTGTTAAAATATACTAATATTCTTAGAAACATTATTAGATCTTCATTAGTTATACCATTGACCCTAATTAAATTTAAATATTTCTTTCAATTGATTGAATTATATTCACCAACAATTATGTAATTGAATATATTTTTTCTTTTTTGTAATTTTATTTTAGGAACATCATGAGGCATAAGTTAATCAGTTCAAAATGGAAATGCATGGTTATTATTCCAAGTATTTTCTTGACATTAAGTACTGTGGTATTTGGAGGTGAGAGAAAAAGATTATTTCTAAATTATGACAGCTAATATTATTTATTTAATTATTAAATTATACAGGGTATCTAAAAAAATTAAGAATACACCACACCCACATATGTTGTCTCTGTCTTAAAAGTGCATAACATACCAAATTTTAAGATCAGCTGTTCACTTTTAAATCTGTTACTTTAATATTAAATAATTATAGTGAATTTAGTAAATTATGTGTATTTTAAAATCGCAAATTGTTTGTACATCTCAAAATACTTATAACTTGATTTAAAATTAAAGTATAATAAAAACCTCTTGTGATAACCTAGATAATAATGTTACTCTTTAATTTATAGAAGAGAAACATTCACTTTAAATTTTAAACTAACAGAGCTAAATGTGAACTGCTGAGTGAAAAACTTGTTATATAATGCACTTGTAAGACAGAGGCAACACATGAGAGTCTAGCGTCCTTTTAAGTCTTGTAAATAGTTGTTTTCATTTTAAAACGTTTGATGTATTCAATTATACAAAGTAAATTTTTTATATGAATGAATACAAAAATGCATACACATATTTTATAGTATTGGTTGCTTGTAATATAATAATTATTAAAAGAAATTGTTGGAAAACACAAATGCTACAGTTTTAATTAATATTTATATTCTATTGTAAATTGTATTAACACTTACAGAATGAATACCGTGGTTTTTTTTTATCATTTTTTATATTTAAAATTTACTACGTAATAATCTCGTTCAAAAGTGCTAATAATTGGATTATACTTGATTAGTGCAAATGTTAGGTAATTGTATATATATATATATATATATATATATATATTGATAATAATTATTTCAAGATAAATAAATGATCTCGTAAATGATATAATAAGAACAGAAAAGAAGGGGAGGAAAAGAAAAGGGAGTTTATATACTAGTAATTCTGTTTTATTTCTAATTAAAATACAATTATAATTTCAGTGCCATTAAGTATGTCATATTCTAATCAAGAAAATATTAAGAATGAACATTTAGCACATGAAAAAGAATTTGATAAAAAACTAGCTGATTCAAGCTGCATAGTCAATGGTTCAAAATATGGAGAAGGAGAATATACACCTGGGGCAGGTCCATGTGAAGAATGTATTTGCCATCCACCAAATGTTGTGTGTTCAATGATGAAATGTCCAATAAATACTGGTTGCATTACAATTCAGTTACCAAATAAATGCTGTCCAAAGTACAAATGTGGTACTTAATGATTTTATTAAGACATTTAAGTTAACGTTTTATAATATTAGAATAAAAAACATATTTGGTTTGTTAAATAGATTGTGAACATAAAGGTAAACAGTATAATAATGGAGAAAAAGTTAATGAATCTGATGAATCAGCATGTAGAGTGTGTTATTGTAATGGTGGAGAAATAGTATGCACTTCAATTGTATGTTACACTAGAAATGACTGTCAAGGATATTATTTACCAGGAGATTGTTGTCCTAAATATGATAATTGCTCATCAACTTTAAAAGGTATATATGTATGGATATAATGATAACAAAAACATATTTAATAAGGTAATTTTTTTTAGAACAAAAACAAATAGAATCAATGAGCTTTGAAAAATCAAATAATAGAAATATTGATGACTGGTCACATACTACAGAACAGAATTACAACGAAGATAATATTTGGAAAAGAGATACAGAAAAAAATCAAAAAGAAGAATTGACTACAGTTCCAAATTTTGTGACTACAATGCTTATTTATGATCCTGAAAAAGTAATTAGGGGCATAAACACTTCATTACCAAAAAATTATGAAATAGTAGAAACAAATATTACTTTCAATGAATCAGATAATGATATTAATAATTTTGTAACAATGGGTGATCTGTTTGAAAGTTCAAATACTTCATTTTTAGGGTTTGAAATTGATAATTTTACAACACATGTAGAAACGACTGATACTAGCTTTATAACATATAATACAACTTCACAAATTGTACCTCAATTTGAAGAATTATTTGATACTACAACAAATATTGATAATTCAGTAATAATAACAGATCAAAATGGTACTGAAACTATAATAGGTTTGACAGAGGAACCAGCTACTGAAGAAATTAGTAACTCAGTACCTGAAACAAGTAGTACACAGGTTGAAATTTTTAATCCAAATGATTTAATGTTAGAAACAAAAAAGCCAATGATTGAATTTTCTACTATAGCATCTGAAATAGATATTACAACTGAAATGGATTATGAAGACTCAAGAGAAGCAACTACACCAAGAGCACCTGATCAACCAACAATTGGTACTCCTCAAAAATTAGTTATGGACACTCTACAAAAAGCAATTGAGGATGAGATAAATACAGAAAATTTATTTACAGATTTAGAAGATACAACAGATATGTTTGGACCAAACTTTGGCTATAAAACACAAACACATCAAATTTCGCTTGATTCAACTTCAGACAGTACAGAGATAATAAAAAAATCATATACAACAACTTTGCCTACCATATTAACGACCTTAAAAAAAAATATGAACGAAACAACCACTGAATATCCCCAAAATGAATTACTCAATATACCACTCAGCAATTCAGATATCAAAAATATTAAGAATAATATTTCAGAAAACATAGAATATAATCTAAAAAATATATATATTAATACAAATAATGTAACTGAAATATACAATGACACTAATTTTCTGGAATCAGGGCAACAAAATACTGCTTCATGTGTAAATAAAAGTTGTACTAATTCTTCAAAACTAAATGATGAACTATTTGACCTTCAGTCAGAGTCAACTTCAACTACTCCTTTTATTATTGAAACAAAATTATTACCAATTCAAGACTCTCTTCATTCAGATATTAGAAAAATTACATATCCTAAAGAATATCCTGACGAATTTGAAACAATTCAAAATGGACCATCATTGACCATAACTAAAAGAACATACACAAGCATTCCAGACATAGTTTACACAACAACAACAATGGTTACTTTGCCGACTTTAGATTTAATTTTTAAAGCTGATAAAGAAATTGAAAAATATTTAACTGAAATTCAATCAACAACTGTTAAACTAAGTAATAATTTAGCTCCACTTCGTAATGTATCATTTTTAAACTCAACTTAAAACTAGTTTAATGTTTGTATGATGGAGTTTGAAATACATGAAACTCGCTTTCTTACTGATGGTTTAAGTTATTTTATTTACCAGCAAAATACATGTACTCATGAAACTAAAACTTTTTCAATACAATCAAATAATCTCACAAATTTATTGTTGAGTAAATACCTCCCCATAATGTATAGTATAAATTATAATTATCCTTAAAATATACTATTATACTATGAACTGTATTATTTACTTAATGAAAGTATATCTACTTTAAACAAATCATATATAGATAATGTATTTCATAATTTATTCTATTATGTTTCACAGTGTTGTTACACACTATGTGTGTATTGTATAGTGTATGTATAAACTATACAGAGGAAAAAACATTTATAAAATAAAAGTATTCAACTGCATTTGTCTTAAAAATATTATTAATATTATAAATCATATTATTAAATATTTAATAGTGACCAGGTTACTTGATGTGTCAAAACATTATAAATCATTAGATAGCTAATTGTTATATCAAAATTAACAAAAATATCAATGGGCTAAATTATTTATAACTTATATTATATTACTATATTATTTTTCTAACTATATATCTAATTATGAAAGTAGGTACCTACAATTTGGATAAGAATATAGGATATTGTCATATTTTTATATTCTGTATGAGTAGGTATCTATGATTAAGTATTATTAACCAACATTTAAGTAAGCCTATATTCAATAGAATATTATTATAACAATTTGTAAAATAGGCAAGCCATTATACCTAAATAAGCAAAAAAAATAAAAAAAATACTATCAATGTTTGATAAATAAATGGTAATTTACCTAATTAAAAATTATAAAAATATAATATTATACTTATTAATATTTCATTTTGATGGTAGACCAATTAATATTAGACTTTTAGAGTGGTAGAGTACATTAGCAGTAGCCAAACTTTTTGGAATGATACATTCTATAAAAATAATAAAATTTATCCTATAACTTAATAGTAAAAAATGATTCAATTATTAGTAGAACTCAATAATAATGAAAAAAGTAAGTTACAATGAATGTATATATTTTTGGATTTACATTCATGTTGTGTGATTGCATAGAGCGATGGACAACGGTCAGATTGTTGACTATTAGTTGATTTATTAATCCTATAAGGGATAAAGTGCGTGGCAGAGGTGTCCTCGAGTAGGCTGCTAACCGAGCTGCTAACCTACACCCAAATATTGAACCTCGATGTATTAGAAGACAAAACCCTGTACTGAAAGTTGCTGAAAAAATTGTGTGTAATACAAACCTACCAATCCATGAATATGGAGTTGAGAAGCCAAGACTCTAACCATGATATCCATTCTTATGAAGAGTGAAATCAATAAAGGCACAATTATTACGCCTAAAACTTTGCATGTGGCAAGAAGAATGAAAATGCAATTTCTCTATTAACAAGAATTTAGTCAAAGATGTCCATTCAGAACAACCAAGATTGTACCTTACTCATAAATTATGGACTAGACTAAACCAAATGTCTACAGGTCAGGGCCGATGAAACCAATTGATGCATAAGAGGATTGAAGTTGTGACTCCGAAGCAGAGGACAATGCATCACATAGTCAGCAAATGTGGGAATAGGTGGTTCTGGTATTCTTGAAGAATTACACACAGTGACGAATGAGACAGTATTATGGTTAGATAGACTGGACATGGATATATAATATTAACATCGAAAAGAATAAATAATTAATAAATATTTAATTAATTAAAATTAAAATTAACCGACATGTTGTAAAATGATAATAATGAATATAAAGTCTAAAAAGAAGCGCATGGTATCTAGATATGTATAATATTTGCTATGCGTCTCGCCTGTAAAGTGATTGTGCCATTCTTTACACAATAAATATAAAAATAATTTTGTTTCTTAATTTCTCACGTTAAACTCAATGGCCCATGTTGCCGAGGGTATCATTAATAAAAAAAAAAAAATTTTGTTTCTTGAAATTTATACTTATCAATTACAACCTATAAATATGCTATACTTATAATTTATAAATAAAATAATTGTACCTAAATACTTTAACTTAATTATTAATACATCATTTTAGGCTATACACTCTGAATACTTTGATTTTGAACATATACTCAATAGGTAGATGTTTTTCAAATAAATATTTTACTAAGCATTGTCGATAATCACAATATTTAATGCTATGAATAATTTTTTGTTAAATATTTCAAATTTAATGATAATAAGAATAAAATTGATTCTTATTTTTATTGATATAGTTTTGAAGAAAGTAGTTAATAAATCTTATAAAAAAATTTAAATTATGACTGTAGGTTAATATTATTCTAAAAAGGTTTATATGATGTACTTACTTGTTTGTTAATACAATTGGTTTATCCAGTGGTTTGAAACAGTATGATATCGTAGTTATTGAATCATTAATGACGATCAAATCATATTCAATAATAAAGTAAACATTAATGCAAAATATACAAGTGATGGTATTGGAACTAATAACAATAACTCATAAAGTAATTAACGTAAAACTTGAAAAATGTTTACTGAATCGTCGAGATGCGAGAATCGATATTTCTAACTATACACAAATATATGATTGGTCAATTGGCGCCTAATACCTATATGTTAAATTTCTTAATACTCACAACACTTAGAGAATGAACACTTACAAATTAGTAATTATAGTAATTTCAATTAAACATTGAACCTCGCACTAAAAACTGAAGATCAAATCAAAATATACGAAATTCCGGAATCCGGAAGACTACCTAGTGGCTAGTATTCCGAGTCGGGCGAGTGCCAAGATAACCGAATTGTTAGTTTTGAAAAGTAACCGTTCTGACAGCCAGTGTGACCAACCTAAATATTAAAAGTAAACATATCGGTATATCGTAACATTCGTTTAATTCGTAACACCATAGAACACTGAACAGTATACACCTACCTATATAGTAAATAATATTATATACGTATTATATAGTGTATTTGTATTACGTACCTACAACTGGCGCGATGTAGTTGATGTATAAAAAAATAGACGTAGAGAACTAGAGTCGAGTAGAAAAGTAGAATGAGAGAATATATCTTCTAAACTTAGAGTGAGTTTATCAAATCATGTCATTTCAATTTTCGACATTTTGGCTTTTAAGTTTTGAGCATTAAATATTAACAAATAACAATGAATATTAATTTTTGATAAAATCCAGTTATGGAAATTTCATGGTTTTTAGTTGGGGGCCTAGGGTATTGAGGTACCCTGTGTGTATTATACTATCCTCGGTCGATCTTTAATATAATATGATTATACAAGGTAATTTTTTGTACACAAAATCTACTCACCACAATTTTCACTTTTATGGTACCTAGATTGTAAAGACCATATTTTATAACTCCTGAATTTTTTTTATTACTTAATGAGTGACCTGTGTTGACACAAACTTTTGTTATTCTAAAAGAACTACCCTTTTTTATTGCAAACTATTTAACAGATGATTTTTTTTTTTAAACATTGATATATCTAAATAAAAATTCTCTTGATTAGTTATTAATAGGTATTAAAATGTTAATAACCAATTACTAAGTACTAAGTGATATGACTATATGTCTATATATAAAAAAAAAAAATAGAGTAGTAAATGTATAGATATCGTGAACAATTTTACCGATAAGGGAAATTAACCGTCAAGTTACAAAAAAATATGTAGGGAGGTACTGTGTAATTTTTTTTTTATAGTCCTAGAAATCGAATGACTGCATAATTTGTGTTTGTATATTTTTATTTTTTATAAATATAATAGGATTATAATACAAATAAGAACTTTTATAAAATAATAATGCCCGATAAGACGATAACTGGCAATAATTCAATAATTGTGATTATTGAATAAGTAAGTTCCTACCAGTTTACCACATTTCGTTAACCACTACCAGGGTCCCCATAAGGGGGGACTGGTTAGATATGGAGTACAGGGCCCCAAAATTTGATGTGAGGGGCCTGACCACTACGTCACCGAGATATGTCATACGTGGTCAATAAAGTGTCGTTAAGGCTAATTTTTTACTTTTTAATTCATATTTTTCTATTTAGGTTTATAATGCGCCATAATATATATTATAATATCACAATTTATGATACCTAATCAAAGATACAATTAATTTGATTTTATCATTATTTTTATCATTTTAAACATACATGCTATATATTTTTATAGTAAGTTATTATAAAAGATAGGTTAGGTAATCGTTGATTTAAATCGAATTATTTTTATTTCATTTTATGGAATAATAAAGATAAACTATTGGGTGCTTTATTAATTATTTTATATTTATTTGCCTTCTATGTATAATATTGCTATAATGATGGTGACAAAATTCAATGGATACAGTTTAAATCAATTTCTAATATCCAAATCTACTGGTCAAATTGTTCGTTAAAATACCAATAATTTTTTTACGTAAAATCCACATCAGTATTGCCACATAATATAACAATGGTATTACTTAGTATAATAATCTTTAAAAATGGTTTAACAAAAATATAAAGTATATTATGTAATATTAATAATATTAGATGTTGTATTTATAATCATACTTGGACCATTTTTACAAATAATTTATATTGATAGATCATAGATCAATCATCAATAGATACTAAAGCTAAACCTAACTACTAACATTTTCAAATAATCTAAGCTTTGTGACTCACAAAGTTATACCTATATAAATAACTCAACAAATACTCATTAAAATTTTGATCTAGATAGGTACATAAAATAAAAAAAAATATATATCTTTTCAATAATTAAAAGTGAAATGGGAGGATTCTTCTCTTATTTGAAAACAGAAGTTACTACTATAGTAACTATAATCATTTATCGCATAATCTAATTATTTATTGCTCCTAAAGAATGATTGTATATATTGTATAAACAATAAAAAAAGCGGATATCGCTTTATGAAGTCAATGATATAATATTGTATGCGAAAAACGATTTCTAGTGGAGACGATTTGTTAGTCGAGAATATTTTATACTATGTTAATTGTGTTGATATTATTTCAAAAAAAAAAAGATAAATAACATAAATCAATGTAAAATCAATACATTCATCGCTTTGCTTAGAATCTAAAAATTCAACTTATCGTATTACTAAATGTTTACGATTTTTGTTATTAAATATTCATTTTTTAATTTTGTTTTTATGTAACTTATATTAGAATACTACTATACGTCTGTATTAGGTACCTAATTACTATAGAGTACTTGTATTGTATATATTTGGATTTTACAATCGTTGTGGATCGCGTATGCCGGGTGGATGTCCAAAGAATTTAGCATTTATTTTTTAAAATTAAACTTCAATTTCTCAGAAGTAAATAACAATAGCAGTTTTCTCTACAAGACCATATATTATTTATATAATATTTTAACTAAGTAAATAGTCGAGCTATATAGATGTTTTCTTTTTACGATAATTAATAGGTACTTATGAATTAGAAACGGGTCGTGTACACAACGGCCAAATTGCTACAAAAAATTGTATATGATTTTTAGAAATTGTTATTTTACCAATAAAAGATGTTTTATATTTTAAAAATATAATAATACATCGATATTCAAAACACCTCAGTTGTTTGGAAACTTATACCGAACAAAGTTAAATGAATAACTACTGACACGTGCGTATTAATTTATGATTTTAAATGAAAGGTTTTTCATAAATTATCCCGGAGAAAGTAATTCAATTCGCAACTGACAGCCAACAGAACTCCCACTTGAGTACCCACATCATATGATTTGTTTTAGTCCTCTTATAAAACGCATACGTTCCATCATTATGTTGTGACTCGTGAGTCAACACATCGACGACAACAGTTTTATTTACTCAGGTAAGCTATATTTATTTATTTTACTGTGATAAATAATACTGATATTTAAATATTTAATAAATAATAATAATGAACAGTGACAGTTGTTATAAATTAATAAATTAAAATCTAAAAAAAGTCGTTAATTCATTCAAATGTTTTTGTAGTTGTAAATTTAGCCGTTAGTTGGTGTATCAATAAATATATCATATTATATATGTTTATTTACTTTTTTAAAAATTTAAAAATAAACCAAAGTTAAGTTTATTATAGATACACCAAATATGTTAATATAATAATATTATTATAGAAAAAAATAATATAATATGTATTAAAAATATAATTTACATTTTATTTAACAGTTCAAACATTATGTGCTTAAAATTATTTATTATTGATCCTATAGATATGGGTAAATTATTTATTTTTAAAATTTTTCTGGTTTTTAAATTGAATACATATTTTTCATATCGATAATTAAAGTGCATGTTATGTGATAATAATTATTAAAAATGTTTTTAAATATGTGTGTTTGATTCTGAGTAGTTAATTGTAAACATATCTAATACTTATAAATCGTAGTTGGTTATAAATGTTTAACTTAAATAAAAGATGGTAAATTATGTGGCGGCTTGTTTAAAAGTAATGTTTTTAATGACCCATACCTATCATTAAGTTTTCATCATAAATATTGTTTTAAGTTGAAAATTATTATAATGATTACCTAAGAAGATTTCGCGCTACATTCACTATCAATTTCATTTTGTTAGTATTAATATTAGAGTAAATTGACTAAATATAAAAGTTAAGAATGTGACACTTGTAATACGTTGGTAATTTATGATATTTTAATTTTTAAACAACTTTTAAGAATTTTTAATTTTAAATATATTAAGCACCTACTCGTAATTATAGCTTAAAAATAAACATATCATTGAAAATCAATATACAAACACATATAATGTATATATCTATAAGTTTGGAGATAATATATTTATTCACTCTTGATATTTACTCTAGTCTCGAGTATACTACCTAGTACAAAACAATATAGAATTAGTTGTATTGAAGTGCTTTAACACAAATTCGCTAAGTTTTACACTTGACCATGAACAATAGTTGTATGTTTGTAAGACTGTGATGTCACATGTAGGGGATAAAATGATGAAGACGCCCTTTTAACACTTTGTATTATATAATGTAACAGTCGAACAGTGATAGTATAAAAATTTTTAATTTTTTTATTTGTTTCCATCAATATCATCATAATCATATGGTTGATTTTGTTCAAGAGCATACACTTGAACTTAGATTTCGTCATTGTAATGTTTATGTTTCTAGGATTTACATTGTGAAATCTATAAATTAATGGCGGTTATTTAAAAAATATACACCTAGTAATTTTTTAGAGTGCTTGACATAACTGTTTATAATATACTACCTATTACATATATTAATTTATAATACTGGTATAAATAAAAACGATGATAACAGAGTTTATAAGCATGTTGGGTTACGATATAACTAGTTTTTTTAAATGTAATTTTTTTCCTCATTAGAACCATGAATTCGCTTATGACCGTTTTGGTTTTGGGCACGTGCTTGATGGCTGTGTGCCTCGCAATGCCACAAGGAACTAAAGATGGCGCTATATTCACAAACGAAGCCATCAGACAAGCACAGAGTACACATCTTATACCGCAAAATGCTCAGATTCAGAAAGTTCAAGAAGGCGTAGAATTGGTCGCATACGAGTCAATACCTGGCTCACAGGCCATCAACCTGTTCGAGATCCTCGGTGACCACGTACCTCCAGAGGTGGTCAGCAACCTGCAAACTCAAGTCGATCAAGTTGGAAAACAGTGAAAACGAGATTATATAATTTAATTTAGTCTACACGTCATAATATTATTTTGTTTAATCTTTCTAAAATAAGTCTGTGTAATGTTCTTATATTTTCTAATGCATATGTTTCAACATTGAATTCTAATAGGCATACATTATGCATCTACGTAATACGGCTCTTATGCAACATTGTTATCGATTAGTTTTTAACAGAGAAAGTATTTTTATTTTCGACGAAAGTGCTTTCACCCACTGTTTTATTTTTATTTTTATTACATTTATTTTATTTTATTTTTTGACAGATGTTTATACATACCTAAATACCTAATACACATGCATTTACTTTCTATGTATGGACAGTCATGTTTAATGCGATACCTACATGCCCTAAAGATATTACAAACAATAAACATGATATGATTTATAAAATTAAAATAAGTAACTACATAAGAACATATTATTGAACCCTGCTTTTTTATGTATATTTTAAGTATAATATTTATTAGTTCCAAGAATGAATTCATATAATTTATTTTAATAATTTCAATGTTCGTTTATTTATCTAAAGCTATATTTACACTTCAAACTTAGAAAGTAGATACTAGGTACTGATAAAAAATGTAGAAGTACAGGTTTAAAAATGTATATTACGTTCTAATTTCTTTACTTGCAAATATGTAGATAGGGCAACATATGTTTTACATGATATATAAGTGTAAAAGTATCAAAAAGTATCTAGATTAATACGATTTCTCATTAAACATCATTTTTTTTTTTTACCTAACCTAACCTAACCATAAGTGTTTTTTTGTGTTTATGATACTGGTGAGTGATGGGATTATAATTTTGAAATAATTTCTATTTTTTCATAATACATTTTGAAATATTTGGCAACGCGAGTCGCGTGCTCAATAATTTTACTTAATTATAACTTATAATAGTGTAGATACAGTGGGTATCCAATAACAAGATATGTAAAATTTAAAATTACACCACAGTTCTTATAAGCATAACAATATACTTAGAATTATATAAATAAAAACCAAAAATATTGTTGTAAGTTATTAAAATCATTGATTAAATCAAACTACTTTTAAACTTAAAAGTTAAAACATACGAGTGGAAATTTTAAATTTCTAACGAAACAATTTTTATAATTTTGTCAACAGTTAATACACCAATAAATTTAAAATTGAAAAAATGTAGTGTTGTGATGTCTTTTAAAATGATTTTATAGATAGCAAATGTGTATATAATTTCTAAATGTTTTTTTTTTTATAAAACAAAACTATATTAGTCTAATGTTACAATGTTCTCGGTAGCAAATAATAAAAAATAATGATTGTAAATAATTGAATAGCTTTTACAATATTTTAATTCTATTTCCATAAAAAGGTTTACTGGCAGTCTTGTACATCATTATTGTATACCTATTATTATATTGTACTTGTAACTACGTTTTCAGTCGGTGCTGTATAAGTAGCATTGTGTAGGTATTTAATATTCCCTTAATCTAAAATTCTATAAAGGTGAAAGTAGTAATGTTTATAATAATATTTTATGCTTAAGGCGATCATCAGTCACTAAAACCAGTCAATTTATTCAATATATATAGCAAAAAACAGACTATAATTAATAGCCGTAGGTATAGGGAATAAGTAGTGATAAAAAGATTATAGACTATAAAGTTTATTTTATTATAAGTGTCTACGTTAGTCGTCAGGTAATGATGGATTAAGTATATTGTTGGCCACAATAAATAATGGCATTATATAAAAAAAAATTATTAGTTTCTAATATTTTAAATATTTGTAGAAGGGGCAACGATTGTATTTAGGGAGGGCAACGCCCCCTCTTGCCCCCGTAGCTACGGATCTGATTATTACATAATACATTTATACTGACACTTCAGTGAATTTAAATTATATTTTTCATGTAGTAATTACATTTTAGTGGCAGTTATAACTTAAGCAGAGATATAATCTAGATTTTTGAGACATGGCAAAACATTGGGTGCGTTTTTTGATAAATCGTTTAATTAATATACACGGTAGTGCGGGGTAGTCAAGGTATATATATTAATATATTTGTTTTTTTGTCAAGACAGGCAACATACCTGTATTTTTTTGTAAAGGCAGCCAACATCATTATACGACTTACGAGGTGTTTTAACGTCATTCGAAAAGGTGCTATTTCACGACAGTGCTCACGAGTTCACGACGGCTACCGTTTTCTCGTACGCACGACGTTTTTTGTGGTTCTGTAATCAGAGTTTGGTATAATGCTATATTTGATACTGGTCACAGTGTTGTAGATTATATCTCACTGAACAAACGTTAGTTCTGTTTTATATCCACATTAAATATTTTATCACGAGTGTTGACGATCCTGTAACCACACGCCAATCTAGTTGAATTATTTCAATTTAAAGGTAATATTTGCAGGCTATCGATTGGCTGACAACATTAATTTTCCGGTCAGGAAGTATCATTCCAAGTGGTCACCACAAAATATGTTAACGCAGCAGCTATGGAATTGGACCTTTATACTATTGCTATACAAAGTTCTTGTCATCTATATATAGAAGCGCTTTATACAGTACACTGATACACTTTCGTATATATGATACGGCCTAATGGCTAATACTATATAATTTAAGTTAAGACATCTTATAATTATTTACATAATAGCTCGACCCATGGCTAAATACTATTCAGCAATTATCAAGAATTATGTCGGCAGTACAAAACTATCTCGACACCAGAAATTTCAGCAACATGTGGTAGTAAGTCAGTGTTTCATTAAACATATTTGATATTTAATACAATATCGGATTTAAAACATAAAAGCTTTATTCAGGTAATGGGCAATGGGAAATTGAGAATATAAAGACGTAATATAAAGTCGAAATAAACGATATTTAGAAAGAACTACGTATAATAATTAAGAACATAATTTCTACAGACGTGAATTATTCCATGAATACATCATGACTTTAGACTTTCATTTGAGTCTGTGACTAGTCGTTGGCATTATCATCGATTGGGTACACAGATATTCATAGTTATGTACCTATATTGCTGAATACAATATTCTAACATATCATATATTATAGTATACCAACTAATATCAACTGCTATTACTTTCTGTCATGAATCAAAACTTTTATAGAGTTAAATATAGTAAATATCCTTTATAATTATGTTTTCAGCATACATAAATATCAAATGGGCATATTAACAACTTTGTCTATTTTCCATTTTTTAACCGCCAATCTTCGCTGATGTTTCATACTTTCATCATAATCGAAACATTTATATATTTCTTAAACATATGTTTGTAATGGACATGCAATACATACATATAAACTTCTTTTTCTAATTTATACTGCCTACATCGGTAAATTCTTATGAAATGGTTATAGGAAAATACTATAATCATGACTGAAGTATAAGATACCATTCGGGGTAATATCAACATTTTTTTTTCATTACTAATAAGATATATGTATAAAAAAAATTTTTTTCTAGACATTTTTTATAATTTTTGTGTAATAGATACTTATGGTAAACACCATAAAACTATATGCATGTTGTTATAAATTGTATCCTTTTCTTTCTAGTTTAAAAGATGAATGCAGTGGGAGACATAAAAACTTTATCACCTTGATATATCAATATCAACTATACATTTATTACATTTTTTTATTCCGTATTAACTATTTAATGAATTAAATACATTTTTAATCTTAATAAATTTAATTAAAATACATTTTTGTTTACATATTTTTGGATATTTTAAGTGCATATTTCATATTTGAATGAAAATTAGTGCATAAATGCATGCAAATTTCGTATATTTTTAGTGCATATAATTCCGGGCCCTAGTGATAAAATATGATGATATTGTATACATATCATCAAGTTAGGTTGCTTATAAACCATGAATAAGGCGAAACTTAAAACTGTACATTTCGGTAATATTATTATTATTATGAACAATACTAATATTATATAATGTAGGTAGTGGAGTATGAATAGAAATTATTTGATCGGTTAAATTCTATTAGTCTGTAAAATAAATTATACACTGAAAATTTTAATTGAATATTATTGATTCGCAATTCCAGACGATTATTTAAATCGACAATCAATTGATAACAATTTTAATAATTGAAAAATTGCATACGCTTTTGGTTCTATTTAAAATCATTTATGTATTTTTGAATTTTATGAAGCACAAATGCAATAAAATAATTTTTTTTTCTGGTCGGAGCGATGAATATATTTAATTTAAAATAATGTGTTTTTACGTGTCTGTCCTCCTGGAGCCGCTCTTAAATAGATGTCGTGTGTACCTCGTTATCAGGTAAGTTTACTGCAATGTTTGTATTAAATTTGAAATGAATAATAAATGATTGCATACGAAAAAAGATTTTGAGCGAAGAAAGATTGACACATGACAGCCTATACTATTATATGCATACTATAAGTAAATTCATTCATATGTTTTTGATATTGCCAAAACTATAATAATATATTTTACTTTTAGAAGTATGGTAGGTACGTAATTGGATTATTTTTTGAATTTTTAATACAATAAATATTTAATTATTATACCTAATAGCTTATATTTATTATTGAAATTAACTTTTAAATCAGTACAACGTTACAGTAAAAAGGTGTGAATAAGTGCGTGATAAAATATGACATTGATATAGTAGCTCAGCATGATATGGTTGCTACAATCAATCACGCATCACGATTGAGAGTACTCGCTGTCCGCTGCCACTAGTTCCTCGATGGGTGACCACCTGGGTTCTTAGTGGTAAAAATCTTCACTAAACCTTGCCACACGTGAAGCCAATCTACAGTACCAACCGCCAAAATTAAAAAAAAACTTTTATATAACCTATGTTGGCCAATGTTGCCGTAGGTTAATTAATTAATAATAATAAATATACTAATATAAGTCAAAGTTTCAAGTTCTCACGAATAATGTTTTCGAGTTGATATACAATAAAATTATTAAAATTATTGTTCTTTGTTTAAATAAATAATTGTACAATACTTTTGCTATTTGTCTATGTAAAAAAAACTAAATATATTTTAAAATTTTTTAGTTTCAAAATAAGTCATAATATATAAAATAAATAAATATTTTCTGCAAGCTTTAGCTTTCTTGAATTTTTCAAAAATTTAATTTCAAATTTTTATAAAAATTGCGCATATCTAATATTTGTAAATAGGTATAATAACAGCTTATGAGGAAAATTGTGTTAAATTTTAAAGCTTTTTAACCGAATGAAATTTGTATCGATATTTATAGCAATAAGCTAATAAAATTAGAAATGTCAAAAATCTATAAATTAATCAAAACAAGTCAAAATATTTTGAAAATTAAACCATGCGTAGACCATGTTGGTATGAAAATTTAAATTATTTACCGTTGTTCATTTTTGAATTACAACAAAATAAGAAAATCGATATTTTCGAAAACTGGTTTTGTTTAAAATTCCCGTTTGACTATCTTGTGGTTTATCCCAAATATTAATAAAAATACCTACTAAGAATTTTTTTAATGCACCACCTAAAAACACCAACTGATCAACTAACTTACCTTCCTATCAGAATTGAAATTGACGTTGAAAATCTGAATATCAAAGAATTCCTCTACTAGAAATCGTGTTCTTAGCTATAATACTTCCATACAAAAAAAAAAAATAATAACATACGCTTATTGTGAAATTAATATATTCATGGATTTGCTCAGAATCTAATAAAAATATTGATAATAGTACAATAAGAGTATTACAAAACTAAACTTTTTTCACAATTAAAAATAATTTCCAATGATAAAGCCGGTTGAGTACAATATTAGCCACTTGTATCAAGTTGTTGCAAATTTAATTGATCAACACAATGGCTTTTTAAGAACAAAACTCAGTACTCTAAATCATTCAGATTTTGTTAAAATACTAGTGTCACATGAAATTTATACTGAAATATAATTCTACCCAAAAAACCGTATGAGTACTCAGCCCAAGGTAAACGAAAATAAATCACTACAATGTACTACATACACTACAGTCTACTACTCTACAAGTCTATAATATACCATAATTAAGACTTCACTAGCTTTGAATTCCTAAAATACTAACTTTTCCATTTGAATGATAGGTAAATTGTTAAATAATGTACTATCGGTTATTCATATATTTGAATGTTTGATGAATGAAATGATAGTGTTGATTACGAGAACGTAGGTAGGTACCTATACTTGTTGCTGTAACTGGTTTATTTGGTTTTGTTTTAAAAAGTTGTGATTCCAGTTAGGACGTTTATCGTTCATCTTCTCGGTATGTATGTAATTTTTTTAATATCGATGAATTCGTTCAGTTGCTTTTATGTAAAGTCTAGTTTTACTTATTTTAGTTTTATAATATTATGTATTACTGAAATCTGTTTTTTACCATACGAGCGATAYAGTGCATATATTTTTATAACGTAGTTATTATTTAGTCATTATTGCTGTCAATTTTACAACAAAATATGAATTAAATTGAATTAAATTGGTTAAAGCATACAATATTATAACATCACACAGTGGTCAAACAAAAATCAAAATAATTGAAATTTGTCTGATAATATGTTATAATATAGGTGCAATAGTTAATATGTGCAAGTTTTTGATGAAAGCCCTTTGAAATAGATCGTATTTGACAGTATATTATTTCGAATACAGTTTTTGGAATAGGTACTTATTCAAATTATTCTACATTTAAAACACTTTCCCCAAAATCATTTTATCCTGTATAGTCTATATACATCGGAATGCATACCCTTAAACAATATGCTTAACGTGACTTTTTGCTGCAGGTAAACGATTGGACAGACATTTCTTTTTTTAAACGACCTATCCGTCCGGATGTTGCACTATGATAACCGACGGTGACCATCACTGCACGCACCACGTTACGACGGCGGTGTTAAAAAAGCGATGACACGAACACACACAATACGCATCCTGGACGCTGCAGGACGGTGATGACCTTTGCGGCGCGAGCTATATTATAGTCACGTCGTTTATTGATGGGTCGCCGTGGTCGACGTTCCTCGGCCGCACTCGCGGGACACGGCGACAGTGGTGCAGCGGTAACGGTGACGGCGGTTGACTGCTGGTTGGAAAACATTACACGCACGCACAAATAATGCACACATACGAACAAACAAGCGCGCGCACGCACGCGATGTTCTGTGCACGCGAAGAGGTAACACATACGACAATAAGCGCGTACGTGTGTATGATATTATGTACTATGCGATGCGGCGCGCGTGGCCGGCCGTGTGCGCTAGAACAGTCTGCGCTTGACCACGCGGTCGTATGGTCATTACACTGCGTACGATGGTTCGTCTGTGGATGGTCGCGCTCCTGATGCTGTTTACCGACCGACGGTCGCTTGGGATCGGCCACGGGCCAGCCACCCAGGCCACCGAAGTCGTACCCGCAACCACCGACGAAGACGTCGACGGCGACGCAGCCTCGGCCAACGCTACCGGTAATGTGATTAGAATAATGTGCACTTAGATTTACGTATTTAATATCTTGAGCCATAATGTTTATTATGTATATTATATAAGATTTTCTTTGCTTCAATCACTAATCCGTACAAAAAGGAAAATAAACATCTACCCATATAATATATACTATAATACGTAGTACACATAATATTATACACTGTGTCACCTATAGGTACCATCTATAGGTATCTTCGTGAAATGTGATGCACGATACAGAAATTTGTCTATGAGACAGAGGAATTAAAGTTCGTCGTTAGTCTGATTGATCRTTATGTAGGTAAATGTAAGCAAAACAGATTACAAATGTGGTAAAACATGGTTATTTCCTGCAAAAAAAATTTTTTTTTCATTATTATAAGAAAAAATAAAATTCTAAGCAAATATAAATTTAAATTTTAGTAAAAACATATATTTATAGACTTGGTACAAGTAAATTATAAGTATGCTACCTATGTTGAAGAATTGAAAACATAGTAAAAAAAGTTAAATGGATCTTTCCATATATCTTTATTCTTTACATATATTTTATATTAAGTTATAGTTTTACACGTACCTACCTACCACTATACGAACAAATTTTTTAAAAGATATARTTTATTTATAAAAGTAATCTGTAGCTAGACACTAATTTTATATTTTGTATTCTTTTTTTTTACTAAATCAAATATCTTAACGAAAAATATCTGGTAATTGTTACCTTCATTATGATTATTTTATGTATAATATCTTATCCAATCGTATTAAATCGGTATTTGGTGTCATCGGTTTTATTCCACTAAAATGAAATTATTTTTCCTCATTTCCATTACCATTATTATTAGGTACACCTACAGCTAAATGTTAGATATTATTTAAAGTTGGGGAAAAAGTATTAGATTTAATTTTTTGAAAAAAAAGAATTTAATATGGCGAGTATTATATTGACATATATTAACACTGTGTATCGTAAAACGCTTTTAATATACGGTTTGAACGAATATTTTTTGTGAGAACTGAAGTTCATAATACAAAATTAACTGATAACTATAGATAGTATAAAGCTTACTGATACAGAAATAAAAACATGTATGAGTAAGTTTATTAAAAATATAAAATATTGAATATTATAATACATAGCTATTGTTACTAACATAAATAATATATAACAATGAAAACGTTCCTTTTCACTTGTAACAATAATTCTTTTGACTATATCTATATAGCGAATTATTATTATTAAGATATATTGATGAATTACCACMTATAATATTTTCAAGTTGGCGAATATCTATTGTATTATTATTTATTTTAATTTYCTTTTCATCAGGCCCACCTTGCAGAAACCAGAATTCATAAAAATATTGAAAAATAATTTACGTACAAAACACGGGTACCTATCTAATCGTTATAACTAAAAGATGTAGGTAGTTTGATTAGGTATATTGTAGTATCGAAATCGTTATATTATACAAGTATTATTTGGAACATTTAAGTGGCATTTAATCGCATATTGCATTTTCACAAATAAATATAGTATAATKATTAAAAAATATAGTAAAAATTGCATAATGCAACATTTTATACTTTATAAGGTTTATTTCTGTAACTTAAAAATTTAACATGATCGTATTGATTAATTTTATTTGTTGTATAATCTGAAATTTTTTCATTTATGAAATCTTTTTTTCGATTTATTTTTTACTGATTTTTGGTTTTGTGTTACTAATCATGGTTCTTATTTTAATATACGTATTTACTTGAAAAAAGTTTGAGAATTTCAATTATTTTAAAAATATGTGGATGTTGGTGATAAAAATTTGAGTTAAAATCTGAATGAAAGCTTTCACATGCGTTTGTCGTATGGACTCTATCAGAACATTGCCGCGCCCACATATTTGGAGGAAAGATTGATTCATTTTATATATAATGTCCATCAAATAATCACAGAATTCTGTTATACCTGTATTTTCAAGTTAGTATGGCATAAAATATTCTGTTAAACATTYCAAAATCAAGTTCTGTCTCATTTATATATTATATTTAATTGTGTATATACAGATTATGTATCTTTTTCTGCCGTGTAGGAACTAACATAGTAACATTATGTACCTAGTTTTTACTGTATAGGAACTATAGGAACTTACATTTACATATTATGTCCGTGTTCCGTGTAGGAACTAATCTTGATTACCTGCTACTCTCGTGTAGGAACTTAATATTCCACATATCATAATATATCATACAATATATGCATTGGTTACTGAGCATTATATAATCACGCACGTTGGGGTAGGTACTAGGTAGGTACAAACCATTGACTTTAATAGTAATTATTGAGATTTCTGAATTGTATTATCAGCGCGCTTCAGAAATACTATAATTAAGGCATTGCATCAGAAACCGTTGATCAAGCTCTGAGGAAATGGCAACGGAAACCCATCGACCACAGGAAATCAGAAGAAATGGTATAAGAGAAAAAAATATGAAGAAAAAAATGTATCGTGTGTGTATACCTAGGTGGATTAAGAAAAAAAAATGACCGGTGACATTTTTCTCAAGAAAAGATTGCCCGATCGGTTCTGGCCAGGCAATTAGTTAATGACCAACACTGTACATGGTCCACTTTAAATAATTAACGCACAGGGAATGTTTTATTCTTTCTCTGTCTTACCGTCTTCTTTTGTAATTGCGCCGCTGCAATTAAAAATACTAATGTCTCCAGACGGCCACAAATCGATCTACACAGGATAGTAGGATACAATTAAAAGTACAACATGCACAACCAAACATTCGTATACACACACATATATATTATGATTGCATTCACAAATGTTGAAATGTGTAACAATAATATTAAATGAAATAAAAACCTAAGTAAAAATAAGTAATATACTGAAATAGTGAAATCTATAAGTAAATACTTCATTTTGATTAATTTTTAATAAGTAAGATGGCTTATAATTTTAGTATAAAGAATCAATTATATAGACGTCTACTGAATGTAAAATGTATAAGGTACAATAGGTACTCGTATTAAAAAAAAAGTATTTTAGTATTTTACTATAAATGTGCAACGCACTATGTTGTAATATGTAATATTTAAATTAAATACATTTATCAATGTTTATAAATTTATAATGTATATCAAACTACAAATACGGGTACAATTTATACGATTCAACTGAAAATTGCATGCGGGTATAATATGGCAAGATGTAAACCCGTTGATGGTTAAACTTCCGGTGATTTCGCTTAAACTTTTAACGCAATAGTATTATAATATTATTATGGCATCTACATAATTTAAATTTTTTTTTTTTAATACATTCAAACATATATAACCTATATGCACTATAACATTATTCAGTGCACAATGCTAAAGTTGATCCATAATTATTTTTCGGAAGGGTTAACCGCACTAAAAAAATTAACTGAATAATTAGATTTATGATATTATGAAGTTTGGAAACAATATAAGTCTACATAATTCTATCTTAAGTTGTCGTATTATGGGCATTAACTTTCTCACGGTTAACACACGCCGCTTAAGGATGTAATTACGAATTGCAGGAAACCCACTCACGGGCGGCAGACTTCCATGAACGCGAAACCCCTTGGAGGCAGACGTGAACCCAACACGATATTCTCTCATACACACACACACAAACTCATAACTGCTCCATAAGTATGTGTACGTATTTTATATTTTTGTATGTATATGGCTGTTTTTGATTCTACACACACCGTTAATTTGGGTTTTATGAAATCAAGATAATATCGTAGTATAACTGTACATTAACCCCTTGTGTGTGTGTGTGTCCCGTCCCATATGTTTGATTCCCGCAGAGAAGTGTATGTTGTTTAGCATAATATATTCTGGGTTTGGTTACCACCAGGTTTAGTACCTAAAATACTAGCACTGTAGCAGTTATCATTTTGACAACTTGACCTAAAGCTGTCAGAATTCTAAAACAACAAATTATACTGAATTACACAATACAGAGACCTATAATAGGAATATATTTTCATAATTTCATTGTTGGTAATGGTAAAACAGTGAAACCTCGAGTTTAAAATATATTAGATTTTAGTTATTTTATACCTATCATTGATATATTAAAATTTTAATAGGGTATTTTTTTATGAAAAATGTCTAGTTATGATATTTTCAAAGTTAGATTACATAAGATTCAGGGTGGATATTRAAAATTGCTGCTAATATATAAATAATTAAACATACTATTTAAAACATTTTTAAACTCAATTTTATTAAAATATTTTATCATTTATTATATAGAAATATATCATACATATATGTATATTAAAATACTATTACCAAGGTATAATGTATGTATAATATAAATATTATAAGATATATTGTATACCATTTTAGATTTCCTGTTCAGTTAAAATTGAATAAAAAATAAAAATAATTTAGTAAAAAATTTAATATTTAAATAAAAATTCATATTTTACATTTTGCTATACATAAAATATATGGTTTCTCTAAAGGTTTTATATAGAACTTATCAACAAGATAGGTAATAATAAGTAGTGTTCATAAGAATTTCATTTTATAAGAACTTTTATAATTTGATAAAACTCTGATTTAAAGTTGTTTTTGAAAATATATTTTGTTGATTATACTCATTTCAATACAATATACATAACATGTATAATGTTTATGCAGATGTTCCTATTTCATTACATTTTTAACTCACACAAACAATATAGTTTTTACATGATAAGGGTGCAGCATTCACTTTAATATTTATTATTTTGAAACGTAGGTAGGCAATACAGTTAAAAAAAAAACCGTTACCATTTTGCTTACAATTTTATAAATAATATAGCAACATTATTAAAATACGTTATTCGTATTTTAAAATAAAACAAAGTTCTCACGAGACAGTTAGAGTTTTAAATTGGCCGTTCTCATCTGCAGTTAGTATATAAACATTAATTATTTAGTAACAAAAGTTGTATAACTCGTAGTTTGGTTAGGTACTTTGATAACTGTATGTTGTACAACATAGGTTATTATATCAACTYATAATATGGCTCATGTTGCTCTAAACATTACTACGCCTTACTAATACATACCTACGAATGTAAATAATATTAATAATACAGTCATGCGTGGATCATAAATAAAACATTATCAGAACATATTTTTATAGATTATTGATCATTGATAGCTTCTGTTTATATAATTTATTATTTAGGATGAGATGAAGTTTTTTTATAAACCAAAGAAAAAAAAATAAGTTGCTATAATTGTCTTTTAGTACCTAAGTAAATATTTAGAATTTGAGGGCATAATTTATTTAATCAGTTGTTTTTATTTCATTTAGAGTGGTCATATATAATAATAATAATAGTAACCACTAACCAGTAAGTATATTAATAAAACCAACACGTTACTGTAAATAATGTATCAATATTTGTGCTAAAATGTAATGTATATTAATATACTTATTGTCTAAATGTTAGCTAAAAATCTGTGTTATTGAAGCATTTTTTATCTAATAAAAAAAAAGTAATATGATTGTTCGTTGGTAATATTCTTGCTGAAATAAACTATAAATTATAATATCACTTACCTGTTAGGTAAGTAGCGATATTACTCATATTTGCTTGTTATCATTCCATTTTAGTTATGGGTATACTATACATAAACATTTTTATATTGCATATTGTATTGTGTAGTATTTTTCTATTTGTGGGTATTTATAATAATGAATTAAACACTGAAGATTGTAGTATAGCAAAAAGAGGTAAAACGACGTGTGGATTATGCGTGTACCGTTAGTCGGGCTCTTCTCTGTTTTTTCTTTGTTGCCTGCACCTAAAATACTCAATGATATAACCTTTCCATTAGACGTGATAGTAATGATAAAGTATTATAATGTATCATAACAATGTATACGAAATAATCGTTTACCGAGTTCATGATATTTATCAAGCAGTTTACGTATAGTAAAACTTTAGATCTATGTTTTTATTGAATTTAGTAGTTCTACAGTGTAGTATTGTATAGTTTTATTGGTTTACGACGATAGTTATACATTTTGATGATGAGTTGTGATATCATTTAATATATCAATTTTTAAATATTTTAAACTTAGAGAAAACTCGACAATCATTTAATTCAAAATATTTGTATCTGAAACACTTTTCAATCATGAGTTAGTACTTATTAGTTTTTACTAATTTTTCTTAATCTAACAAATTTTAGGATAAATACAATTTATATTTTTGGCAAAATGTTCAATAACTGCGATGAATTTTTTTTTTAATGAAACGTAAATGTTTGTTGACTTTTACGGTAATACGATATATAATCTTTTAACAACTTATTTAAAACATAAAAAACTAAAATTCTAAATTAGGTACCTAATCGTTATACTCGTCTTAAATTAACGTCTTATTTGTTTATAAGCAATTGCCAATTTGTAATGCACTTATATAAATACATATGATACCGTATGAGTTGAAGTTTCGGAGAATTTTAAACATAAGTAGCCAGTAGGTGCCTAATACTAACAGCCAATTGATAATATCAAATCAAACAAAAGATACACTCTGGGTCTGAAAGGGTTAACATAATATTTGAAATAAAATATAAATAATTTGTATAATATTATGTGATTTTACCGTTGACTAATTTTTTTTTTACCTTTGTTAATAGTTTTTTTTTTTTTTTTTTAATTTAGAAATCGCGTCAGTCGGGTGTAATTATAAAGGACGAAGTTATGATCCAGGATCATTGGTTAATACAGACCAACCATGCTTAAAATGCACGTGTGTAACCGGAAGTTTGGTATGCCATTTGCAAGTTTGTCCAGAATTGCCAGATCCACCACCTCAGGGATGTGTGATTGTCCACAAGAAGAACAAATGTTGTGCACATCTTCAATGTTTCTATGGTAAAATATAAATTTTAAACTCTTTTAGAACATAACATATTAAGTTATTCATGCTGGTAAAAATAAAATGATAAACATCTCATTTGAATACATATAATATAGTGAACTATATAAGTGACTTTAAATCCATTATATAAATATCAGTCGTCTGTAGTTTGATAAATTGACTTAGTTTTAGTGGCGAGAAAATGTCTCTGGATCTTTTCTACTTTATTAATTAAATACAATACAATTAATTAGGATTCCATAAAAGATTTTCAGTTACAAAGGATCTTTAAAACTGTGGTAGGCACGTTTGAAGGACCCTATAAAAACACGAAGCCTTTCCCCAAATATTTAATTTAAATGTGTATTAAATGATAAATCAGTCTTCAAGATTGTTTCTTTAGTTAATTGCACGCAATAATACTATTTAATTATTCAATAAATTATAGACTCATAGTTATCTCTATGATAAATATCTACATAGATAAAATTGATCTGTAATACATTTTTTGATCCATTATTTTTAATTTTAACTTAATTTCATAATAACTAGCTATGATTATTTTTATTGAATTTATATACATATGTAATAAGACATTAAGACATATAGGTGTGAAAGAATTAAAAATTAAATAAACAATTATTTGTTATTATAAAGAATATAATATTAATTATATATTTATATGTGATGTACCTCGTATTTAAAAATAATTATAATATATTATTACCTACTTACGAATGTTTAAAATCAAAATTAAATTAGATTGGAAATTTCACTTCAAATTTTTCATAGTATATTGACATGATAATATAAGTATGTATACTGTATAGTAAGTATATATCATAATAATTATAGATGGTTATTTTCAGTTCATCTTTTGAAATCTATTACTTAATCTATTTATTATTATTATTATAATATATCTAAATAGTAACCACACACAGACACACACAAAAAAAAAAAAATAAATAAATACTAATCTTGGCCACTTGAAATAGGCATGTCATCGTACTATGTGTAGTTTTAACTGTAAAATTATTGATTGTACATACAAATGTAATGTATTATGGTTGCGCAAAATTAAATATTTTGTGTGATCGAACACCAACATATTTAGCATAATAGCATTTAAATTCACCACCAACTAGACCTATGTGAAAATGGTATGTGCATGTGTAATGTGTAGTGATGAAGTTGCTCAACGAATTGGTTGGGTTCATTGCGCAAAAACTAGCAACTTACAACTGACAAAGAAAGGTGTTTTAAATGAAAGAATGTCGATCGTCTATATATTATGCTGAATAAATTTAGGCTCACAAAAAGACAATACAAGTGTTTCGGGTTGATTTATGAATGGGATGTGCACGTGGTGATTTTAATCACCTCTTATTTTCTGTATATTGCCTTGAGGTCGACTGCCGCTCATCGCCACTACCATAGGTCATTCATTCAAGACCAGTTAACTAGTAACAAAAGTGATGTGTGTTTATCCAATGGTAATTTTGCCAATTTTTAAAACTAGTATTTATAATAATAACTCTAAAATATACACGAATTAAAATTCAAATTATAACAAAAAAAAAAACATCAGTCATGAAAGAGAAAAATTTTCAAACAGCTATATACAGCAGACTTATTTGCTAATTATTATACATAATTTATTATCTATTAACTATAATAAAAATAAAGTTTCATATTCCATGTATGTTCGCGATACAATCAATACTACATCGTCTTCGTGCTATCGAATAAAAATTACATTCCATTTGATCAATTTGAATATTTTAGAAGAAAAAATGTTGTACTAATTGAACTATATATGTGTTTTATTTGCAAATATATTATGAATCTTGTTATTATTGAAAATGTGAAAATTATTTAAAGAAACCACGATGTTCATTACGAGTTCACAGGTACTAGAAAACGGGTGATGTTATTATATTATTCTTCAAAAATATATAATTATTTTGTATAACGGTTATAATTATACCGTGTAATTATACTACCATAAATATATAGTACCTACCATTTCCACCAAAAACAAATTTGTTTTGTGAGCCAATGACTAATTGATACCTATACCATATACCTAGGTCCCATCGTGTTTTAAACGTTATTTATGCAACCTATTATTGTTTTAATATTCAATTATAAATCAAGCCGAGTCTATATTATTCTACCAAAATTTTTGAATACTCTTTCTAAAAATTTATATTTAGTTACACAAAATAAACATCTGTGGATATGAAGCAAAAATTGAACGAATTTACGAGCCCAATGAATCAAACACCACGGAACTATCTCAGCTGTATAGTATATTTTAAGTGCATCTCGTCATAATTGAGTAGGTCATTGCAATTCAGTGCTTCCAACCTATGGGCCACAACACTCATAATCCAATCTTGAGTTACGCATATCTGTATTTATAAGCTCCAAACATACCTACATTATGAGATTTAAAAATTTTAATATAGAACGATAAATATTTTATAAAGAATAAAACATTATTTTTCATTTAAATATCCAGTTTCTTAGTTAAAACTTTGATTAAAGATTAACGAGGCTTTTCATAAAAATTTAAAAGAAATTCCACTAAAAAAAAATTTTCCATCAAATATCTTATAACTAATTTTCAATTCTTAAGAATCAAAATTAATAATTGTAAGAGTTTATACAATAACTTTATTATTTCTCCTTATTGTTTTCCAAGTACAATACGTAAATTCAAATCACCATCAGGACCTATTAAAAGTTAAAGACTGAATGATTTTTATTACTCCTAAAAGCTATAAATTAAACATAAAATCACATACAAAAAACTTTTTATCATTGCAAAACCAATGCATGCATCACTCTGCTCAGAATCGTATAAAACGCATTTTGAATTCAAACGAGTGGTTGAAATAGAACGATCAACATAAACTACAAATCGTGTTGTTTTATTGTTATTTAATTACCAATCGGGTTTAAACTAACTTCTTAAACTTAAAATTATTATTTTTTTTTTCAAAGCTTATTATTAAAGTACGTTAAATACTTAAATAAATGTGGCACTACACATTAGGACGATTGAATAATGCGATGATGATTGGATTTTTGTGATTTCTGTAACATCAATTCTTAGACAGTAAAAAATTAAAAATTAATATTATTTTATTATTTGCCACATGAACAAACTTCGCTGTTTAGCGATGAATAAATATTCACACCCAACCGTATTCGATGAATACAGTACGTATGATATTATACTGTATACTATTATATAAAGAGTCACACCCGACTTATGGATCCCGTTAGCTATACCATTAATTTTAAAAATCAGTCAGATATACGTGCACACGTTTTTGAATCCTCTAATCATATTTATTGGCCGTGCATTAAACCAAATTTAAGAACTAAATAGGTACGTAAACCAAAAACACTTTATTTTTACTTAGGTAGAAAAAGTTAAATCTACATACATAAATAAAATTCTATGAAATTTATACATTTTAGGTATCTTTGAAATTTGGTTTAATAAACCACATTAATACTATTTAAAAAAAAAGATAAATTTGTAGTGAGTATTTGCAATGTCAGTATAGAAAATTGAATGTTAAYTATTATTCATTACATCGGATATATAAAAAAAATTATAATTTTTATAGACCAAACCATAAGTTATTACTTATTATACAACTTGCGGCACCTATTTGTTTAATATATGAACAGGTAATAACTAATAATATGGGCTAAAAGCCTATAAGGAATGTAATAATAATTATACTCGATTCTTCTTTGCTACTTAATGGTAATAATGATTACTTGCAAGTAATAATCAATGTCATAACCCATAAAAATGTACTATTACTCATATTTGTAGACATGTAGCAATAAACTTTGATGATAAGTTATTGGCAGTTGTC